AGGGAACTAACTAAATAATAAACTGGGATATACCTGCAAAAATTGCTAGTCATATTTTAAAGTCTATTTTATTAGATAACTAAGACAAAATGGCATAGCTAGAATTCTAAACAACGAAGCATCTTTCGAGAATACCAAAGCTACTAAAATAACCCAGTAAAACAATTCAGAACCCCTTAATGGGGCAGCATCTTGCACAGGATGTTAAGATTTGGGGACTCACTCTTTATATGTATGTTCTACCAAAAGCAAACAGATAAAAATAGTTATTAGTAGCTGCAGTTCTGTGCAGAGGTTGACAGGTTGGGAATGAGTGATAATTATGTGGTGCTTCCATATTACCATGTAGAATGACTGCTGACATCTCTATGCCCATTAATCTTGCTTTATGTGCAATTACCTGTAAATTGGGCATTGACTGCATTTGGCAAGCAGCAACATCCTGAGACTTCTCCAGAAAATTTTTCAGTTCTATCTTCTTCTGTTTTTCATGGTCTGTTTTATAAATCTACTTCAGCATTTTTCAGTTTGCTTTCCTTTTATTCTGTACGACTGAACAGTTTTATTGGCAGAGCACTTCATACCTGGATGTTATTCAATTTATGGGATGTGTGTAAGCAAAAAATATGTCTGGGCCTTGCAGATCATGAGTGGCAGATGAGAAGGTAAGAAATATGATAATAAGGACATAGAAAATCGAAGTCATGATACATGTTAATGTGTGTGGTACAGCAATTTTTGTTTCGTGATACGGGAGGCTAAGCAGGCTTGAAGTCTCTTGCTTTATAAAGCCTATGCAATCCTTGTGCCAGGCCACAGCTCTTCAAAAAGTTATCTAGATTGGTCAAGTATTATGTAGCTAGCTGAAATTGTGTGCTGCACCTTGCCAATGTAAGATGTAAATAGGTGAAATCCCAAGGGAAGGGAAGGTAAAATGATCGCTGTAAGCAGTATTTGTTACAGGCAATCCCACGAATTGCCTAAACCATTTCAGTGGTTGAAACAGTTTGAAAGACATCCATGCCACTATCTCAACTGGGCTACACCTCAGATTGTCTAGAAGCTCCTTCTTCTTCCTAGCTCCAGTCTCCACACCCCTCGCGCTTATGTTCTGAGGGACAGGATGAGGAAATCTGTGACTCTCTAATGCAGTATCTGATGTACTAGGGGAAATTCTCCCTTGACTAAAAAAGAGGCTACTGCAATCCTACAGCCACAGCTGGGCTTCCTGGGGCCCATTCCTTTGCACACCGCATCTCCAGCATCCTCCTTCGTATAGCAGAAGATGCAAAAAGATTTAGGAAAAAGTTTTGTGGAACTGAAATTGTATGGGAATTATTGCTTTCAACAAACACGAATACTACTCTCAGATATTCTCAAGTATGTTATTCATTATATTGCTGAGCTGTAAGAAGGTTTTAGATAAAGTTCACATAAGGGCTAGAATATAATTTTTGGAGGATACAACACAATATTTCGAGGATAACCCAAAGACAGCTGCAAAATCCAGGCCACTTATGTGTATACCGCCATAGTATTGCTTTGGCTAACAGCTCCATTTAGGTCAGTTTATTCAGAACCAGAAGTGGTCTCTATCAAAGGGGTTGTCTATTAATTGAAGATGAATATGTCCTTGCTTTTCCTTTTGAAAAAGGAAAGGGAAAAGGGAAAATTTTTATTGTAATACTTCACAAGTGATTTTTTTGAAAGCAAGCTAAAATAAATAAAGTACGTGGAGGCTGGGAGGTAACTGATGGCTGTAGGTTCTCATAGTGCTTCCGTGAAAGCTAGTTCAGTGTTGAACTGTACGAGATGCTAATAGTCTGAATAAAAATGATTGTATTTTGCTCCCACTGCTAATACACAAGACAGCACATTCTCTAATAAGATACTTTGTTCTGTAATGGGGAAAAACAGAGACTGAGGTTTGGATTTCTTATTTCAAGTTAAATGTGCTTTCTGCTGGGGGAGTTCCATGAGTGAAGCAGGTTATTTCAACCAACACAGGAGGCCGGATGGGGAATTTTAAGAGACTATATATAACTATATTAGGTGAAGATTTTGATTTCACAGTTTAGTCAAAACACTTCCTGTCACTATCATACAACAACACGAATCCCATTACTGTATCTTCTGTCTCACTGTCTGTATGGACTTTCTTTTAAGGCAAAACTTTTTCTCTCTCTAGCCCGTTGTCAGGCAGGCAGCACAGAACACCTCTTTCCTCTTTCTTGTGCTGTAGAATTATTACAGCAAGCCTTGTCCCACAGTGATGAAACTAAGAATATCTATCCCTTAAAGCAAGAAATTTATTCTTTTATTGATACCACATTTTCATTATTAAGAAAAATATGATTCATAAAATATTACCCTATGGCAGTATGCAGACTTTAATATTAATGTCATTTTATTTAAAAAAAATCATCTAGAATAGAAAGGATTAGAATCAAGAATGAAAAATACTAGTAGGTGCCTGGAAGCTACATCTGTGCCCTTTGTTTCCTATCTTTTCCCATCCCATGAACATCTCCAGAAAGGCACAGTACA